AGGTATTGTTGTAATAGGTTTAATAGGTATTTTCTTTTATGGTTCATATTCTGGATTGGGTTCATCCCTGTAGTAATCGGATCAATTAAGTTCGAGGTATAAAAGAGTCTTCAGAACTCAACGTGATTTGCTTTTAAATCACGTTGAGTTCTGAAGACTCTTTTATTCACAAAATAAAAAAAGTTTTTTTCTATAAATCTCAGTGATTTATTCAGAAGGCCTGGTCTCTATTACCGTATAGATTGATATTTTCATTTGAGTACTTTAAGTACAAAGAATAAAGTGCTAGGCTGCTATAAAAAAATATAGATCTTAAGTTCGATCATTTCATTTTATATATTCTATTATTATATATTATATAATTATAATAATAGAATATATAAAATCTTTTTTCTTCATTTTCAAAATGAGGTATAAAAATACGCCTCAAAACTAGAAACCAATACTCTAAATCTTGAACCAATATTATATATACCTCCTCCCCTTACTTTCTCTTTTTTCCTGTATTGATAAAGTAAAAAGAGGAAGACGCAAAATCTATTCTAATTTACTTTAATTTTTACTTTAATTTGAAATAGAAAACTATGAAATAGAGAGTTTATGCCAAAAATCTTCTTTAAAATATAAAAGTAAAAATAGACATACTATGATCTATGACCGGAAATTCCCAGCAGTTAGTATAAAATTTGGCAAATATAGTATAATAGTATAAAGATATTAAAGGTTTTTGAGAATTTGACTTTAATTTAATTATATATTATGGATAACACTGAATCGGTCTATTATGGATAACACTGAAATCGTCTCTTTTTAGATTGCTAATGCTACAAGTCTATAAATTCATTTCGGACAATTGAACTTTTTCAAACTGTTTTTTTTTCAGAACCAAAAATATTTGTGCCACAAGAACAGACGCCAAAAATAACAAAAGTCCTTGGACACGTAATGGATCTTGAAGTACTATTTCCGCGTCTCCCTGACCGAATCCCCCCACATTAGGATTATTCGTTAATGGTTGATCAAATTTGATATCTTCCCCTTCTGAAACAAGAAGTTCTGGTCCAGGAGGGATAATATAGATCACTTGACGACTATCCAATGGATCCGTTATGGTTAGCTCATAACCCCCTTTTTCTTTTCTTATTATTTTGCTAACTCTACCTGTTGCTGTAGCATTATAAACAGTATTGTTACTCTTGCTACCGTCGGATAAATTTGGCCTCTTCCCCTGTTTCCACCCACATATATAGGATATTTTAAGAAATGAGCATCTTTATTAGTAGCAGGATCGGGAGATAGAATGGGAAAGGTTATTTTACTATATTTCTGACCAGGAACAGGGCCCACCACAAACAATATTTTTTTTCGAGGGTCTATAGCTCTGAAAAGACAAATTGCCTATTTTTTCTTTCATCTCGGGAGAAAGCCGATCTGTAGGGGCTAATTCAAAACCATCCGGTAAAATAAGAACAGCCCCCACATTCAACCCCCCTTTTTTACCATTGGAAAGAACTTGTTTAAGTTGCATATCATAAGGAATTTGCACTACTGCTTCAAATACAGTATCTGGAAGTACCGCTTGCGGTACCTCAACCTCCACGGGCTTATTAGCTAAATGGCAATTGGCACATACAATACGGCCAGTTACTTCTCGTGGATTTTCATAACTCTGCTGTGCAAAAATAGGATATGCATTTGAAATGGATGTCAGAGTTATGATATATAACATGATCAATGCGGAAATCAATCGAGTAATCTGTTTATTTATCCAAAGAAAATGATTTCGAGTTTGCATAGTCGAATCGTTGATTGCAAAATTGATACAATAAAATGGGGTAGGTCACTAGTATAGTTTGCTACCCAGGATTCTGCTATTTGATGGAATAAAATATAAAAAAAATAGTTCTATAAAATAAGTAATGAAGTAATATTTTTAATGCTTCGCTTATTTACAATAGAAAAACAGAAAAAAAATTAATCTTCAAATTGAATTATGAATCCCATAGAGTCTTCAATCATTCATTCAATGAATGATAAAGAACTACAAGTGACGGAGAAACACGATTTAAATAACGGAAAACCCAATATTTAAAAATTGTATCTAGAATGACTGGAAAGGTGCAAACAAGACCAGAGATAATTAAATCATTATCACAAAATCCCAAATCTTTAGAAATAAAGGTAATTATAATTCCCAACCGCGGGGTGAATGGAATCCGATACATAAATCAGTTAATAAGAGAATGCAAAATACTTTGATTTGTGTCGCTTAAGTTATATAAGAATTCCCGAGGCCCAAGAGTTCAGAAGACTTAGGTTTTCATTACGCAAAATAGCAGAAACACTTAGAATAAAAAAACAGATTAGATTTGTCGCTAAACGAAAAATAAGATGGATATCACTATATTTTTGTATCTTTATTAATTGAATTGCTTGTTTATGGATTCCTATAATAAATTCTTGTGGGTGTGTCTCCACGTCTTTTTTAACTATTTCGTCCAATAATAGAAATTCCTCGAATTCAATAAATTTTTCCAGAAGACTCTTTTCATTAATATTATTGAAGAAACTTTCGGATTGCCTAGTAGTCCACCAATTAGTAATCCAAGATCCCAGACATTTAATTCAATAAGAAATAAATCCACCAGGGCAAAAAGACTACAAATGCAAGATATAAAAGAGGAGTGAATACTTTATTTTTATTTTTCATGAACCCACCATATATGAGTTTTTACTTTTACAAGGTATAAGGTATATTAAAGTATGTATTGATTTTTGTTGTGATTTTTTGGCCAGTCTTTGAATCTAGAAAGAATACAGATGAAATTCAGATATCCGATACAAATCTTTCAATTAAAATAAAAAGAAAAAAAATTACTGAATGTTTAGATATTTAAATATTTAGAATGAAATAGTAAGCAATAGAATACTTAAACTTCCTAGGGGATTTGCTTGTGCTAATAAAAAAACTGCCTGGTCAATTGGCTAATTAGTATTCCTGAGTCTTAGTAAAAAATGCAATTGGAAAAATAAATAGAAAATATATAAAAATAGAAAAAAAGTAACTGAAAAGAGGTGTAGCCCCCTTCTCAAAATACTTCAATCGGTACACGCAAAAAATAGGCCAATTCTGAAGCTTTTTTTTCAATTTCTCCGGGGTGAAATTCTCATTAGTACGAGTCAAAGGAATAGCCCTCTGGCCTCGGATGTCCATATAAAGGACACGACGAGCATAAATACCTTCTTTCACTTCTATTCGAATAGACCTTATATCTTTTATATTGAATCGGAGGAAAATGCGCCGATTTATTCCAGGAATCCCCAACGAAAAATACAAAAAATTCCCCTTTTTCTATCGAATTGATCATAACCACTACCAAACATTCCATAAAATAGTACACCACAAATACGAGCTAATAAAAAGACCCGCAATTCCGTAGAATGACATGACTATTCCTTGTGGGAAAAAAAGAATTTGCTGGGCTGAAAAAAAGGATATCCAATTTATACCAAGATAACTGGAAGTTCCTACTAATAAGAATCCCAATGAACCTAAAAAAAGAGTAAAAGCCCAACCTAAATTACTTATTTTTCTAGACCCCAGGTCTAAGTTCGATCCATATATGTTTTGATTGCCAACTCATATTACATCCGATTTTATTTTATTTTATTGGAATTAGAAAAAAACCATTAATTAGGAACTTTGCTATTTCAAAAGTAATTCTCATCAAACGAATATTTGTTTGATGAGAATCTAGCACTAGTTTGATGTAAACCTTTAGGGGTAATTCATAAACTTGGTTAGATAGAAAAAAATAACGCCTTAAGTCAATATGATTCCACAGATCTTCCTGTTATGATACAAAAAAAAAGCAACTTACAAAAAGGGAGGATCTCAATATATAAAATATCTAAAAATTTTTATTTTTCTTGAACAGTAATAAATAATAAAACGTTGCAATTGCCGGCAATACTAAGCCTACTAATGGTATAAAAAGAGACGGAAAGTCACTCATAGAAAAGGTATTTTTTTTACTATATTTATTTGTATCTGTGAGTTTTTATCTAACTATTTATATCAATCTAAAATCAATATAATTATTTTCTTTCACTCAAAGTTCAAATGAATTTGAACTTTGAATGAAAGAAAGTGCCCCGGTCATGAAACGTAAATAACTCACTAATAACGCTTTTTAGAAGATGACGTGGTACAATTAAGTCAAATGAACCCTTCTCAAATAAAAATTCAGCTTCTTGTGCCTCGTCAGGTATGGTTTGATTTAATGTTTGTTCAATTACTCTTTTGCCTGCATATGCAATGTAAGCATTAGGTTCAACAATGATAATATCCCCTAACATACCGAAACTCGCTGTTACTCCACCAGCTGTAGGAGATGTAAGGATTGATATATAAAATAATCTTTTCTTCGATTGATAATTGTATAAAGCAGATGATATTTTAGCCATTTGCATCAAACTTAAACTTCCTTCTTGCATTCGCGCACCCCCGGACGCCGACACTATAATCAGAAGGCAAAAAAATTTTTCTGTAGCGTACTCAATTAAACGGGTTATTTTCTCTCCGACTACGGATCCCATACTACCCCCCCATAAACTTAAAATCCATAACCCCTATTGCTACAGTAATACCGTTGACTTGGCCTAGACCTGTTTGAAACAGCTTCGGTTAAGCCTGTTTCTATTTGATAAAAAATCAAGATCCTCTTCATAAGAGTTTTCATAATTAGAAAATACTTGATAAAAGTATTTAGAAGGGTCTTTATAAGGGTATTCCGACGATTCTTCAGAAGAGTCTTCTGAAAAGTCTTCATAAGGGTATTCCAACGATTCTTCAGAAGAGTCTTCTGAAAAGTCTTCATAAGGGTATTCCGATGATTCTTCAGAAGAGTCTTCATCAAATTGAATGGGGTCCCGAGAAAGAATGTCTTCATCGAAAGGAGCCCACGTTTTCTCATCGATCAAAAAATCAATTCTATCTGAACTACTCAGTTGCAAATAATCTCCACATTCTTCACAAATATACTGTTTTAATTTAATAAGTTTTTTATAATATAATGTATCACAATTTTCGCATAGAAGCCACAAATGGTTAAATTTAGGATATTCTCTCCCAATGTGAGTTTGTCTACTTGAACTCTCGACTTCGCTCCTATTGCAGCTTTCACCATCAACAACGGACTCATTACTGAAACTGTCAGTACTATCATTTTCATTAGTAGTGATAGTAGTTCGCTCTATTTGCAACTTAATAGAATTTTCAACGGACTGAGCAATCTCAATCTGAGAGTTAGATTCGTTACTCACTTCATTCATTTGAGTGAGATTGCTTGAATTCGAAGAAAGATAAAAAGGTTCACTAAAGAAAGAGTGAGGATTTTTTGTTTCAAAAATATAATTTTCAATATTAAAATAGATGCAATAATTATTTCCAGTACTATCGCTAACTAGAAAAGTGTCATCTTTGATGACACTTTCACTATAGTTTAACTCGAAGACAGAATCAACATTACTGCAACCGTAATTGTCACGATCCTCCCAAGTCTGAATGTTTTCAAACATATCTTGCTTCTTCGTATCTTCATTTTGCCTGCTATTTTCTTCAATAGGACGGCTAACACCATCCATTGATTGAGTTAGCCCCCATCCACGTTCAAATTTCTTATCCAATGAATTATCCCCCCACATTTCCATAATTTTTGCCCCTTGTTTTTTGCATGAAAATACAATGCATGAAAATACAATAGAAAATAAAATAGCAATACATGGAATAGTCGTTTGATATAAAATATTCCTAAACTCAAAATAAAAAAACACAAGTTCTTTTTGAACAACTATCAGAATAAAAAGAGAAACCCAAGCATTAAGGCTATTGCCTAAAATAATGGGTATGAGTATCCAAAAATGGAATTGCCTTTTATATAAACTCTACCCCAATTACCAAATTTAACTATTTGTTCTTGCCTACCTATACCCAAATATAAATAAGAAGTTCATTAATATGTATAGATATCCGGCTCAATCTGTTTACTTTTTTTAGTATTTGAGTGATTTTAGTAAAAGATTGGGCCGAATTTAATTGCAATTCAGAAGAGAAGGGGGTTAGTAATTGCTTGAATTCCCTCTACCCATTCCCGAATAAGTTATCTGTATTTATCTCCTGCAGGAGCCTCCTTAGTATATCTTTCTTTCTTCTCATTTGGATCTAAGGTATCCACTGGTTTAAAGTCAAATTGAATCTCCTTCCATACCTCACAAGCAGCAGCTAGTTCAGGGCTCCATTTACTAGCCTGTCGAAGAATTTCATTGCCTTCCTGAGCAAGATCATGTCCTTCGTTACGAGCTTGTACACATGCTTCGAGAGCGACTCGATTCGCTACGGCACCAGGCGCATTACCCCAAGGGTGACCTAAAGTTCCTCCCCCAAACTGTAGTACGGAATCATCCCCAAATATCTCGGTTAGAGCAGGCATATGCCAAACGTGAATACCCCCAGAAGCCACAGGCATAACACCGGGTAAAGAAACCCAATCTTGAGTGAAATAAATACCACGACTTCGGTCTTGTTCAACAAAATCATCGCGTAATAAGTCAACAAAGCCCAAAGTCATCTCTCTTTCCCCTTCTAGTTTACCTACTACAGTACCCGCGTGAATATGATCTCCACCGGATAGCCGTAACGCTTTCGCTAGTACGCGGAAGTGTATACCATGAGTTTTTTGTCTATCAATAACTGCATGCATTGCACGGTGGATGTGAAGAAGGAGACCATTATCACGGCAATAATGAGCCAAAGAAGTATTTGCAGTGAATCCCCCTGTTAAGTAGTCATGCATTATAATAGGAACTCCCAATTCTTTAGCAAAGAAAGCTCTTTTTAGCATTTCTTCGCATGTACCTGCAGTAGCATTCAAGTAATGTCCTTTTATTTCACCTGTCTCAGCCTGGGATTTATAAATTGCTTCGGCACAAAATAAGAAACGGTCTCTCCAACGCATAAAGGGTTGTGAGTTTACATTCTCATCATCTTTGGTAAAATCAAGTCCACCACGAAGACATTCATAAACCGCTCGACCGTAGTTTTTAGCGGATAACCCCAATTTGGGTTTAATAGTACATCCCAGGAGAGGACGCCCATACTTGTTCAATTTATCTCTCTCAACTTGGATGCCGTGAGGCGGACCTTGAAAAAGTTTTAGTATAAGCTGGAGGTATTCGAAGATCTTCGAGACGTAAAGCGCGGAGTGCTTTAAAACCAAATACATTACCTACAATCGAAGTAAACATGTTCGTAACAGAACCTTCTTCAAAAAGGTCTAAAGGGTAAGCTACATAAGCAATATATTGATCTTTTTCTCCAATAACACGCTCAATGCGATAGCATCGGCCCTTGTACCGATCAAGGCTGGTAAGTCCATCGGTCCACACGGTTGTCCATGTTCCAGTAGAAGATTCCGCAGCTACCGCGGCCCCCGCTTCTTCAGGGGGAACTCCAGGCTGAGGAGTGACTCGAAATGCTGCCAAGATATCAGTATCTTTGGTTTCGTAATGAGGAGTATAATAAGTCAATTTGTAATCTTTAACACCCGCTTTGAATCCAACACGTGCTTTAGTCTCTGTTTGTGGTGACATATATTCCTCCTTATAACTCATAAATTAATAATTCTGACAACAAAATGATCTACTCGACCTAAATTCTGCGTTAATTTTGCTTTTGGTCGGAATCGTTCACAAAATTCCTCCCGAGTACTCAATATTATCTATTATCAACTAAATCATAATTTTTTATTTTTAAACTCAAAGCATTTGAGTAATTTTTCAAATGCATCAATATTTTATACTCTTTTGTATATCTAGTGCAACCCAGTTTTTCAATTTCACTTTTTTACACTACCTCTCTAACCTAATAAAAAAATCAAAAAAACTAATGGGATAGAAATAACAAATTCTAATGAAATACTTTTGAAATACTTTCCCAATATTTTTATTCCTCCACTTTAAAATAATTTAACTATTTCAGTTCCTTAATTCAACAAAAATTAAATTTATTAAATTTTAATTTATTGGATACTGGATAATATAAAAAAATACCAAGAAAATCCCCCCTTTTTTCTTATTACATTTATTGAATTAATCTTCCGCTTGCGGGCAGTGATTTGTAATTTGAAAAGTTTTTTAAATTTTTTTTTTATGGGAAGCACTCCTACGACTTCTGGTTCTGAGGTTTCCTCAATTGAAAAAAAAAATATAGGGCATATCGTCCAAATAATTGGTCCGGTACTAGATGTAGCTTTTCGCCCTGGTAAGATGCCTTATATTTATAATGCTCTAGTAGTTCAAGGGCGAGACAGTAAACAAACGAACGTGACTTGTGAGGTTCAACAATTATTGGGAAATAATAGAGTTCGAGCTGTAGCTATGAGTGATACAGATGGTCTAATGAGAGGGATGGAAGTGATTGATACGGGAGCTCCTATAAGTGTCCCGGTCGGTGGATCAACTCTGGGACGAATTTTTCAACGTGCTCGGACACCCTGTTGATAATTTAGGGCCTGTCAATACTAATAAAAAATCTCCTATTCATAGATCTGCGCCCGCCTTTATAGAGTTAGATACAAAATTATCTATTTTTGAAACAGGAATTAAAGTAGTAGATCTTTTAGCCCCCTATCGCTGTGGAGGAAAAATAGGACTCTTCGGGGGAGCTGGAGTGGGTAAAACAGTACTCATTATGGAATTAATTAACAATATTGCCAAAGCGCACGGAGGAGTATCCGTATTTGGCGGAGTGGGTGAACGTACTCGCGAAGGAAATGATCTTTACGTGGAAATGAAAGAATCCGGAGTAATTAATGACCAAAATATTGCAGAATCCAAAGTGGCCCTAGTTTACGGTCAGATGAATGAACCACCAGGAGCTCGTATGAGAGTTGGTTTGACTGCCCTAACTATGGCGGAATATTTCCGAGATGTTAATGGGCAAGATGTACTTCTATTTATTGACAATATATTTCGTTTCGTCCAAGCGGGATCAGAAGTATCCGCCTTACTGGGCAGAATGCCTTCTGCTGTAGGTTATCAACCGACCTTGAGTACAGAAATGGGTTCTTTACAAGAAAGAATTACTTCCACCAAAGAGGGTTCCATAACCTCGATCCAAGCAGTTTATGTACCTGCAGATGATTTGACTGATCCTGCTCCTGCTACGACATTTGCACATTTAGATGCAACTACCGTACTCTCAAGAGGTTTAGCTGCTAAAGGTATCTATCCAGCAGTTGATCCTTTGGATTCAACGTCAATGATGCTGCAACCTCGGATCATTGGTGAGGAACATTATGAAACTGCGCAAAGAGTCAAGCAAACTTTACAACGTTATAAAGAACTTCAGGACATTATAGCTATCCTTGGGCTCGACGAATTATCCGAAGAAGATCGTTTAAACGTGGCAAGAGCACGAAAAATTGAGCGTTTCTTATCACAACCTTTTTTCGTAGCAGAAATATTTACAGGTTCTCCAGGTAAATATGTAGGTCTCGCTGAAACGATTAGAGGATTTCATTTAATCCTTGCTGGCGAATTAGATGGTCTTCCTGAACAGGCTTTTTATTTGGTAGGGAATATCAATGAAGTTACCGCCAAGGCAATTAACTTAAAAACTTAGAAATTTAAAAATAGGGAAGGATTTGAATAAATGAATTTAAAACTTTGTGTACTGACCCCTAATAGAATTGTTTGGGATTCAGAAGTGGAAGAAATCATTTTATCCACTAATAGTGGGCAAATTGGAATATTACCCAATCACACACCTATTGCCACAGCTGTAGATATAGGTATTTTGAAAATACGCCTTAACGGCCAATGGTTAACGACGGCACTGATGGGGGGGTTTGCTCGAATAGTGAATAATGAAATCACTGTTTTGGTAAATGATGCTGAAAAAGGTAGTGAGATTGATCCCCAAGAAGCCGAGCAAACTCTTAAAATAGCAAAAGAGATTTTAAAAAAAGCTGGAGGAAAGAGACAAAAAATTGAGGCA